TGGTTTTCTTTACTGATTAAACTAGTGATTATAAGTCGTAAAACCCCGTCATGCGATCATATAGAAACGTGGAATAATCCGGACTATCATCCGATCCCAACCTGGTACACATTTTCTGGGTGCATTTGGAATTATATGTATTTGTCTGTATTTGTCTTTATTTATTTAATAAAATAATAATGGCAAATATGCCTACATGATGAAGCGATAGACACATTATAATATAATAAGCATATCGAAGTGTAATATTTACTATTTGATAGACATAAATATGGTGTTGGATTATAATCATAACATGTACTAGCGGAATGATCTGGTAAAATAATTTTTTTAATATGTTGCACACCGGGTGAAGGATCTGTCGTGTAACATCGACGTTCCCTGTTATACATAACACTTATTGCCTTTAAGATAAAAATGGGGAGGGTTAACGAAGGTGAGTGCTTGGTATTAATATTAATGCGACTTTATTAGCAAAGCGAAAATACATTTTCTATCAATCCTTTTGTAATTTTCTATTGGGAAATTCTATTTTCACCCGGGTTAAAGTCACCCGATATATAATTTCTATTATATTATATAATACAAACTACTATAGCCAACTAAAAATTCTATAGATTGGTTGGTTAGAGGTTAGGGTAGATGAATTTTACGATATTATATAAATTTATACTATATAGTATAATAAAAATTATATATCGGGTGACTTTAACCCGGGTGAAAATAGAATTTCCCTTTTCTATTTCCCATATCCCAACATATTGAAGGAAAAATACTTATTTTGCAAATGATGATAATAAAAATTAAAGCAAAAAGTATTTTGTTAGGATATTAGGATCGAAGATTACGTATAAGCAGGAAAATAATGAATTTCTATATATGAAATTTTATTTATTTTTAATTACGTAATGAGTTTTTGCCTTTCCTTATTTTGCACAAGCGTTAGGCAGATCCAAGATGGCTATCATCCTTTTTTTGGGGATTTCTATCACTTGCATAAATGTACATACGTAGATAGTCGATTGACATGGCATAAACTTTAGATTCACATGATACAAGTGCAGTGTATATGCGTCAAAATATAAAACTATATTTCAAAATCAAAAATATATATATATACATGTATATATCATATGTTTATTTCGTGACCACAAGACTGCATAAACAGTTTGTAGTGATGCATAAATTTAACAATAATAAAGAAAACTAAAAATAGTCAATCTATATGGCTAAATATGTAAAAAATATATAAATAGTTGATAGTTGTCACGTGGAAAAATTGGAATTAAATGAATTTTCAAAATGATATCATATTCTTCAAGGGGAAAGGGGATAGTATTACGTACAATGTTTTCAAAATACAGCATCTAAGTAAATATAAAATATACCGTACAGCGCGGACCATAGCACCCCTCACATCAAAGTACCCTCTATAAAAATTTTTCGCAGTTGAATTATATAATACCCAGGTACTAACTTGGATTTTAGCTGTGGAATGTATCGTATCCAGGGTACTATAGTCCGCGATATACGGTATATGCAAAACGTTTTATAACCGTCTAACTTCATCGTGTTGTAACATTCACAATCATCTTATCAAAAGCAAGACGAGAATTTTCAAAAGGCAAATCAGGGTTTTTTAGATATTTTTCAACTGCTTCATTTTCTACAACATCTACAATGTCAACTGATGACAAAACGGTTGCAATAAGGATAGCCGCCACTGTTGGTGCAAATTTATCGGCTGCTATGCATTTTATTTTGCCAACAGAAAAAGGCATATATGATGGAGAAGATGACGCGTTAGGGTTTTCGAATCGTTCCGGTTTGAAACATAATGCATCATCACCCCAAACCGTGGGGTCACGTTGGATCGTTTCTACGTCTATCCCATAGTTTTTTTCATCATGCATTCGATATAAGTGACGTGTTGCGGGATATAATCTCAAGGTTTCTTTAACTATAAGGTCTAATTGATTTTTTTTTAATGTAGAATGAGATGGATTTTTTAGAAAAGTATCAATCGAGTTATTTAGATTCTTAAAGTATTTATCGTTTTTCCTTTTCAAGTTGTTTTTGGACAGCAAAATTTCACGCACTTTAATTTCTAAAATTGCATATAAAAGAACCCTCCACATTGTTTCATATGCTGGAAGCACAATATTCAGCGGAGTTTTAAGTTCGTCTGCTGTAGAATTAATCAATCCAGAGGTTGATTGTGGTAATTCCTGAATATCATTTAAATGTTTCTGTGCTATTTTTGACATTTCCTTTATAACATTGGTGTTATTGTCTTTGGTTTGTGAAATTAAGGTTGCATTATAAAAGAATCTTTTAAGAAAACTTATTGATTGTTGAATTGATTCTTTATTATTATCGTATTCTCTCGACTTAGTCCAAAGGTCGTTTATGGTTTTAGGAATGTCACCAACGACTTGGTAGATATTGGTATCAAATCCTAAATAACCGCGCAACGTAATACTTAGTGTGATTTTCTGAATCCAGGGAACAAGTTCAATGGACCCAGTTTTAAGAAGTTTTTCGTTCTTTACAGCCTCAAGAGCAATATTTGCAAAATTTCGCCATTTAGTATCATCGAAACTGATTGTTTTTTGAATAACTTTGACGAATTCTTTACGATACTTTTCATTTGGATTGGTGAAAGGATTTGATATTTGAAAACATTTCTTAAACCTTTGATTCGGTATCGTGCGGGAAAGTAAGTCGCTTTCAATGAGAACTTTGCGTGCTTCATCCACATTAGTGATGAAAGATGTATGTAAAGTTGAATAATGTACTTTGAATTTTTTACAATATACTGCAAAAAGGAACAAGATAACCAAGAATGCAATTATTTCAAACATCTTGAACATTTGAGTTGTTGAAGTGAGTGAAGTGAGGAGATTTATACTTTTTAGAAACAATGTGTCTAGACAAAACTATGCCAAATTTAGCCTCTACAATAGCTAATTATAGAATGGAAAAATTCTCAAACTTAAATTGCAGTGATTACTCCGGTGGCGCATACGGAGGCGTAAGCGTACAATGTATTAAAATGGGAATAATGACATTGATCTTCCATAACGATAAGTATGCGCTACAGTTGGTGAAATAATGGCATTGATCTTCATAAGTGCTACAGTGTGTGTATATATATTCACTGAAGTGAAAACAATGACATTGAACTTCCACGTACGTACGTACGTACATACTTACATACGTACGTACATACTGAAGCACATACGTATCTGGTATGTACGTACGTATGTATATACGCTATTAAAGAATCATCCAGGGCGGCCCCACCGAAAATGTGTATAAGGTTGGCGGTGCAGCTCTCCTGAATTACGAATCAGATTTCAAGATTAGGTGTAACGTAACACGATCAGGAACAAACGTTCGTTCTGCCAAAAATCGCTCATAGCTCTAACAAAAAGTTTTCGTTGGACACCTCTCTGGATCATACCCTGACCCTAACCTTAACGAATTTAAGAATTTGTCTGCGCCGCCAACCTTGTACACAGATTAGCCAGGGATTTTTCAAATTCGTGTAACGCAGATCGTGGTGCAATTGGAAAATTCTTTTTGAACAAATTTTACATTGTTATTTGGTGCACAACCACCTTTTAAAGCCATGGGGACCCCAACGGATTTCTAGACTACATATTCATAGAATAACTTTTGCAAGAATATTTTATTTGTTTTTTTTTTAGATAATAAAAATGCTTTTTTGTTAAAATAAAAATCCCTGACTGAGAGCCCCAACTAATCTTCTTTTGGGGCCGTCCTGGATAATTCCGCTACGTATTAAATTTAGTTGTCAATTACCATAAAGGTTTGATGAATCAAACTTTATTAGTAGCTTTTAACGTACGTATGTATGTACGTACGTACGTGCGTACATAGCTACTTCATACGTACTAGAACCAGTTTGACAAACTTTCTGTATGCGTATCGTAATTTAAGTTATTTACATTTACTATATCTATGATGTTATTTACAAATGAGTAAATGACCTGGTCATTTGATCAAATTTAAATCATCAAATAATTATTGTGACGGCTGATGCTGAAGTTTGGCTGATGTTGAAGCTAAAAAAAATCTGATTGGTTAGGGTTAGGGTGATCTGCAAAATTTAGCCAATCAGATTTTTTAGCTTCAACATCAGCCA